AACAATTTGACGGGTGTGGATGTTTGTCCACTAGCGATTTATGTGTGTTAACCGCCTTCTCATAACAGGAGAAAAGCTTAGCGCGGAGGTATCTCTAAAAAAAATTAACTTGAAAATAGCCTAGCGCACTACTGATGATGTAAGCAAACGCAATTCGCATCTTCGAGTGCTAGCACCAAATCATTTTCTTTTAAAAGATAATTAAGGTTGTGCATGAAGTTAATGCATTTGTATATTGCAATTAGACGTCAGATCCATTGACGGACACGTACGAGATGATTATTGGGGACTAGTTAATGTTAAGAGTTAAACACGTGAAACACATTCAAAATCGACATGACCATTCATGCGTTAGAGATCAATAATCTAGATATAACTTTATGCATAACGTACGCCGTTTGACTTGAAACTTAACTAGTTTTAAAACAATTACAACATCATCTCTTTGCAATTAATATCAATTACTTAATTAGTAAAATGATAATTAATAATAATGTTTTGTTAACCTTATATCAATGCAAAATAAAGCATCGGTTTAATTTTTTTATCACATGATTTATTATACAAAATTACTTTATATTTTTATTAATGTGACTTACGTGGATACTGCGATCTATAGACACCTATATCTATGCTCAATTAAGTATTAAAATGCATATGTGTTGTAAAGACCTTTACCCTTAGGACAAAGATGGAATGAGGCATTCCATCGTCGGTTTGTACTGGAAACGAGGGCGTCCGTTCCGTTTATAAGTGGATGCTGTGGCCCATAGACATTTACATCTATCCTCAATTAGGAATCAAAATGTAAATGCGTTGCCGCCCCTGAGGACTAAGATAGACTCGATCCCAGTAAAAAGGGTCTCCAGTTTTCTACACTCACCATACGAAACACAGCAGGATTAAGCCGTTATTTTACGTTGGTATTCCGTCTTCTTTCCCGGTAAGCCATCTTATTCCTGCTACAACCTTAATATAGTTGCAGCACGGTTCTGCCAGCTAAAATGGTTATATATCTATTGATTGATAGATAAAATATGTAACTATTAATTAAAGTATGTATGTATTAATTTCTTACTAATTCTAAAGTATACAGCTGAATACATATAGGCCTCCTACTTATTATTTTACATAGAACTTTGCCATAGTTGCTCCGCTTGGCAAGCGAGTTGGCAACCGCAGTTTTTTATTATTTTTAGTTGTCATCAGGAAAACGCTGCTGCCTATATCCCGTTTCAGTTTTCCTCGATCACTTCTCACGGCACCCACAAAATTAAATGGGGTAGTGGGTGTACTTCCGTCGCCACTACACGTCGGAATATAGCTAGTGATATACTAAAATAGAACCCTGAGTCCGATGAAGATATAAAAGCCAAATAGCTAAAAGCACTAACCTCACAGAAACTAGACTACACATCGAAAAGTACTAATATTGTAAGTTATCGCAATCATTGCGTGTAACTATGTCGTATAATGATACTATACATATATCTAAACGATACGATGTGTATAATTAAGTTACAACATACTAGAACGATGAAACGCACATTGAGCATATTATAAATCTAAATTGAAACGTTAATCCTATTTTTAGATCTGTGATATACAAATTAATTATACGAGCGTATATTATAATTACGTTGCTGATATATCATATATTCGATCAATTTGCGCAATGTCCAGGGCTAGACGTGACACGCTGTTACCATATACGTGACCTCTCGATACTCAATTACACTCTTCGATGGCTTGTTAATACTTTAAAAGCATCAACAGAGAATATTAGTGTGTTAGATGAGGCGAAAATTGGCTATTTTAATTTACAATGACAGCTATCGATTTGTTCCTTAAGCACTTTTAATGTTATAAAATTCATATCGTATATATCGTATTTTATAATTTTTAAGAATAGGAAAGTATAAAATTTACAAGCGCACGAAAATAAAAAGTAAAAGATATGATGCATTGTTCTTTCGCAAATTAAAAATTATTTTCATCATAGGGTAATAATAATAATAGCACAATGATTAATAACTGTAATGGATTAACTAAAGTAGACATAAATAATCTTAGCGCAAAGTAAAACGTGATTCAGTATTGTTTACATCACAGATTTATATATTTACACGTGTTTAATTAAAGCAATCCATTGCTTATATATTCATATATCGATTAACAACTAAATGCAGTTAATATTGAAATATTATATTACAATAATATAAAATGTCCTAATCGTGTTTATTACACAAAATGATTCATTAGCATTCGTATGTCAAGGTTTGTTTAAACTCCGTTTTGCATATTGACCACTTAATACTACTGAACCAAATGTACGAGTACGTATACGTACATACGTACGTACGTACGTATGTAAATAGATTTTACACATGAGTGGTCAGGTCCGCGACCGCCAGCCGCGTGGGAATAGCCGGACTTTGACACAACTGGCCTATTGAGCGCTATTGTAAGCCACTCAGTGGGATTGTTATTGTTATTATTCTATTGATTATCTTCTAAGGTAGATAAAGATAAGTACGCTTCTATAACGCCTGGGGAACTATTTTTAAATTAGATAATATTAAGTACTTATGTGTTCCTGGTACGTATTACAAAAATCAGTTTTGTAACTAATCACCTATTGATTATACAGACTTTGTGATTTAATTTCGGAGGATAAAAATAATTTATGTATGTATTTCGGTACGAATTTCATATGTAAGTTTTTATTTGTTTCATGAGTAATTTATAACTTGATTAGAAAATTACTTTTTTTTAATTTTATGTACTTAAGTTTATTAATATTTTACGCTTTCATAATACAATGCAAATTGTTTATGTGAAAAATAAATGAATTCATGAATAAATAAAACTATGATTACCTGAAATCTAACTACAATTATTGTTGTGCTAACTGTTTTTCATAAATAATAAAATTTTCTCTGATCTTTGCTTCCGTTTGATTATCTTGTTACTAGACAAAGTACTTTTAATTCTATCGTCGTGTAATTGTAAATATACAAAGAGCCTCTTGTCTACTTCAATAGTCTATTTCGTGGTAAAGACACGCTTTTGCTATAATATAGCATGCGCTATAATTGCAGCACGAATGGGTCGGCTCGAACGGAGAAAGGACCTTGCTCTTACAGAATACCAACGTAAAATAGCAGCTAACTGCTGCTGTGCTTAGTATGGTGAGTTTAGAGAACTGGAGACCCCTTTGCTGGTACTGTGGTATTCTATCTTAGTTTTCAAGGGTGACCACGCATTTTATTTTCATTCTAAGTCGAGGATATATTAAGGTGGTATTTACTCACCGTCACGTTGATTGTGTGCTTGTATATCATCTTTTTTTCTATAAATTTAGTAAAGGGCACAGAATCAGTTCTGCTTCTGCGCTCTTTATTAAATGCTGCTGAACCTCGAAATGATGTTTTGTGTGTGCTCTATGTGTTGGTAATGTTGGCATTTAGGGAATAAATTTTGCATATTTTCTCTTCATCATCATCATAAAAACCTTTTCAAATATATTTCTGAATATTGACCTCGCCCATAAAATACAACAATGCATACTTCTGAGCTGTTCTCTCTTACACCCCCCTTTTGTAACATAATCTTTAAACTCATATTTTAAAGATTTTTGTGTTATGCCTTTTGGTCGTATAAAATGAGACGTTGCGGAAGTTTATGATTGAGATAATACCTCAGTGCTATGATTAATAATATGTATCATCATTCATCATCATCATTACAGCCCTTCACAAGTCCACTGCTGAACATAGGCCTCCCCCAAGTAATGCCACAAAGCACGGTCCTGAGCCACCTGCATCCATCGACTTCCTGCATGTCCTACCAGGTCGTTACTCCATCTAGTGGGGGGTCGCCCTACACTACGCCTACCGGTACGAGGCTGCCACTCGAGAAACTTTCTTCCCCATCGGTTATCGGTTCTTCGAGCTATATGGCCGGCCATTGCAACTTCAGCATACTAATCCGTTGGACTATGTCGGTCACTCTGGTTTTACTGCGGATATCCTCATTTCTGAGTCTATCACGCAGAGAAACTCCGAGCATAGCCCTCTCCATAGCTCGCTGAGCGACCTTGAGGGTTCTCATACGGCCAAACAATTTTAAAAGTATTAATTCTAAACGTTATTAAATCTTAAGTGTCAAATAAAAGTATTAATTTTAGGTTATTAATTTTAATAAAGTATTAAGAATTAATTTTTTATTTGATTTTAAGTATATGTAAAGATTAAAGCGTTAGTATTACATGTAAAGTAACAACCCTGTCATATTACGTCTGGGTACTGACTACTGACTAAGAGAGATTTGGAGCAGAGAAAAGAGCACCGCGAGGCCCCAATGCACGTTAGAGGAGGATTTCAAAATATATCAGCAATGCAAGTTTCCATATGACGTTTTTCTTTACCGAAGTCTTAATTAATCGACAAGTAATGTTACAACTAACAATTTTATTGATGCTGGCTTGCTCGAGGAAATCGATATCACTTGGCTCGCGTAATGCGCAGAAATCCAAATGGCTCGAAATACGGACCATGTTGTTGTCTTTGCTATTAAATTAACTTGAAGACTTTATATGTAAAACAAATTAAACACATAATACTAAACTGGTAATTTCAACATTTTAAATTAATTTTAAGACGTTAATTACATATCCTATAAAAATAGCAAAGTAAACAATATAATAGCAATGTCAGATACAGAAACACACAAATAACCTTCAGAGCCTCAAACTTTTTTTTAAATGTATATTCTTTTATTAATGTTTATCTTAATTGCCATTTTGACACATGTTATTAATATTAGATTTCCCTCGAAGACAAAAACTTAAACTAACCAATCAACTCGAACGTTCCGATGACGTAACTTGAACTTGATGAAATCGCATAAAAAGCGTTCTAAAATTCTTTTTTCAAACTTGCACTCAGCACCAACTTCTAGAAAGTTCTAAAAGGTGAAGATAGCTAGCATTGACTAACCTGCACTATAGAGCCGACCAACAGTCCGAAGCAGAGCGCGATGCTTGTCACCTGTGGTGCTTTGGATTCTGTGATGGCGATGCAGGATGCCACACCGATGGACGTTAGCAGGAATGTCCCCACCAGCTCCGCCACCACTTGCCGCCAGATCAGTTTGTTCTCTGTCACGTCGGAGAGACCGATGATGGACGTTGTCCCTGTAGAAAAATGTCACGTTAATCAAAATCCATTCGCAGTTAATTGTGAAGATGTATAGTTGAGGCAAAGTACAGAACTTATTGGTAAGAGCTAAGTATTGAAAAGGTTTCAATAATACCGGTAAGGAACCGCTATATACCATTTATAATAGTACAACTAGAACAGAAATCAAAACCTTTTGGGCAAAAAGTGCATTTTGCCTGCAAACTCAAAATTGTTTTTATATACTTTCGTATATAAAAATACATATGCGTATATTAATAAATTTATTTTGAATTTATTATGATATATTATAATAAATTTAAGGACGTATATATAAACACCAAGGCGTTTCCCTTCAACTTGGTACCTAAAAAATTTATCTTACTGACCTTAACCGGAACAAAAATGAGAACCGTACTGAAAATAGGAAGCTTTTTTAGAACCCGAACCCGAACCCGGTAGCAAAGCCGTGTCTAATATTTTAGCAACCTATAATTTATGTTGGTACGTCCAACTGCAGTAATATCCTGCGTACGTATGAGATTAGCAACGAAGTTTGAGATAGTTTTTGATTTAATTAATATAAACGTCCCCGAGTGAGATTTTAAACCGAGATCTAAAAACAAAGTTCTAAAAAGTCAGTGCGTATGTTTTTTATGTATATTTGCCGATTTCTCGGAAATGGCTTAATCGATTGGAATGACTCTTCTTTTGTTAAATACGTTATACTTCAGGGATTACTCCGATAAGTTTTTAAGAAACAGTTTATCTCCTATTCCTATTCGCAGGATAAGACTTATACTAAGTTTATTCGAATCGGCCCTAAGCATGGAAATAGGTGATGAAGATTTTATTATAACATTTACAACACATTGTAGTTGCTATCTTGAACGTATTACATTTCTTACTCTACTCAAAGGGTTAAAATAATTACTTTACCCCTTAATTAGGCAGTATATTTATGGATAAGCCCGCATTTTTGCTAGCTTCCTGTCCTATTATAACTTAGACCATTCAATACTATTATAATCTAAGTGCTCGCGTACTTATTCAGCTTTCTTGGGAGGTGATCCGATGCGGCCACTTAGGGTAGAGTTGGATAATACCGCGCGGCTGATAATTTCGTGCATCAACATATTGCAAAAACTAAACGCATGTAGAACTATCCAGCACTTAAAAATCATACGTGTACTCCTCCTCGCACGCACCGCCAGTTTGCTCCGAGCAGGGACAGAGTAACACCTCGTCGTGAAAGGTTTTACTTGTGTTCCTTCGAATTTCGCGGATATTTTTGATAAGAGGTAAGATATTCTGTATTTATATTCTAACACACTGTTTCCATATATTCTAATGCTTACATATTGTAGAATTAATGCCCAAACGGATTTGAATACACAATTAACTTTACTGTATTATTTTGAGGTTATAAAATGAAATGATCGAGTTTGTCAATTCCGCGCCTAAGGCGAGGTATTATCAATCAGGGTACCAAATTGTAAACTAAGTTTTTTTTTAGATGGATTAATCTGTTCAGCAAAAAAAGAAGTCGTGACGATATATGAAGTGACTATACGGAACGGTTGCAAAATAAATACAGCTGTTAAAAACTTAGATTTCCCAAATTATACAATTAGGAATCGATTAAGATTGAGAGAAGATTATTGATTAAGATTGGGAGAACACTAGTTAGAAGAAAAAAAAATAAAGCGACGAGTAAAGCAAATGAAGACTGGAAAAGACAAGAATTTTAAAAAGAAGAAACAAACTAAAGTAAAGATATGAACAGCAGCGAAAAAATTGAGGATGAAGACTATCTGAAAAACAAAAAAAAAAAAAGCTCGCAAAAGGAAGAAAGAGACGTAAAGTTAGGTCAAACAAATTTATCAGCAGTGAAGACAGTGAGGATGATATTCCCATCGCTCAGTTGTGTGATGATGATGAAGACGATGTTGTGGAGAATCATGATATTTGCGCCGTATGTCAAGAATTTGGTCGTGGTAGAGAAATTTGGTTCCGTTGTTGCAAGATGCTTGAATTGGATACACATGGAGTGTAGCGGAAAATACTCTGACGAAAATTTTTTGCATTGATTAATGCTACTTTAATTTTGATAAAAAGACTAATTACAGGTATTGCTGAGACTGACTAGTAATTTTATTCAAAGATTTACTAATTGGAATACCTAGTCATTGATAAAATAATAAATGTAGAGGTACATAAGTTTTGTTCACATAAATAAGTTTCTCTAATTATTTTGTTATATTTTGTATAGTTGATTTATATTGTTCTAAAATAATATCTCAATAAAAATAAAATAATATCTTAAAATAGAATTTTTTCTACTAATAGAAATTCACGATATTATTCTGGGCTCGGTTTTATCAAACCTCGGCACGATATTATCCAACCAGTCTGATAATATCACGCTCTCCCGTTTTTTTTTAAATAACGCATTAAATACTTTCTGTTCATTTTTTAAAATATTTTGCCATGCTGGATGTGTAGCTAAATAAATTCTCGACCACTTAAACGCTTTTTTAATCTGTATATCAAACTCTGCCCAAGTCATAGGTCTAAGATCGTAGGGGCACGGTAATATCCAACTTTCCCATACGTATCAATTTTCGTCGATGATAACGTTTTTATTTTGGTCTTTATGCGGTATTATGTTGTTGAAATTATTCATTAATCAATATTGTATATTATATTTATTACATATAATAGCTTTATAATACTACTTTGCCTATTTTGTATGGAAATCACTATTGGATTTCATAAAATAAATTATAATTCATGGAGGGAATACCGGTAAACTAACAACCATATTAAGACGTTTGCTTTTGAAGACAAAGTCAAAGCACTTATTGCACCCTACCAGACATATCTTGTTTATGCACGTGCTGTTCGTACTTCAACAATGAATTGGTTCCGTGAGGTAAAAAACGAGCAAAAAAACGGTCTAGCTCCATCAACCGCCAAGCGTGAAGGTTGTTCACCACGTCTTAATAAACTCGATAAAAAAAGTGCTTACCTAATCTCACAATCGATCTGATAGTTTTGTTTTCAGACAACAATGCAATACAAATTGCATTAAATGCACTGAACATAGTTCGAGGCGAACTCTTTTTCTCTCTCGAAATATTTTTAACTTCCCGCTAAGAAAATTGAAATTTTTTTTAAATTGGGAAGTTATTGGTTTTACCCCGATTTTCGAAAATCTAATTTTGAAGCTATTCTGACTAATTTCAAATGGACGTCCGTAGGGATGTATGTATGTATGTTTGCGTGTGTGTTATAATATGAACTGACTCGGACGAGAAGATTTTGAGAAATCTCAAAAATAAAAATTTTGAAAAACTGTTTTTTTTTTTGGAACAACTTTTAAACGGCTTTACCGATTAATTTCGAAATTAATCAGCTCTTGACCTCAAAAATGACGTCAAATGCCGTTTTGAAATCAAAATCGGTTCATTCATTCATGAGATATCGAAGGAGAAAGAAATTTAAAAAAAACCTTTTTTTAACATAACTTCGAGATTTTGCAACATAATTTGGTGAAATTTGGAGCGCTTTGCATTTGAAATTAGCGGGAAGTTCCAGGGATAGCCTGCGGGGTCAATAAATTTTTTTCTTAACATTGATATCAGCTATACCAAAATTAAAAGGGAAAACCGGTTTCAAAAGCATAAAAGAATAATTTTCCCAAATAGCTCTTTGGAGCTTTAATTCATCAATATACTTTGTCTTAGTTGGTATTAACGCCATCTATAATGAAATATTTAATCTTCTATAAGTAAAACTATACTCATAATTATATGCTTTTTACATATTTATTACAAATCATAATTATTTAAATTAGTATATAATGCGGAACCTTTACCTTTACCCTGCCGTGTAAAAGTATACTCTCAGTTTTCCAACCTTCCGAATAATATACGGGCAGTCAGCGGAAAATCTGATTAATAACAAATAGGTAGGTAAGTACATATACAAAACAATGACGTTTTATTGTAACCACTTTATCAATTTTTACTTAAAATAACTGTACTTTTCACTTTATAAAGATATCATAAAATAGGGCTTCTATAAGAAGTAGTTTTATGAGAGAAAAATTATTTGCATAATATTATTCTTTGTGTCAGATTTATTACATTAACCTTTTATTGTTTTTAATGATCTTTAACATTTTACATAAATCGGCTAAGTCCTTGAATCTATTCTGATACAATAAACATGTCTGGTTTTTTCGTCCATATTAATATATAGATGATAATCTTAAGTAATTTTTCATGGACAATAGTCTAATGTTATAGTTACTGTAGTTTATGGACGCGTTTGAGCTTCAAATAGAAAGTCATAAATGCGTTGTCACCACGAAGGACTAAAGTGAAATACTTCCCAAGTTGTTATTTTCCTGGCTTTTATGTGAATGTATACTCGTATACTTCATTATACACAACAAAAACAAAAACATAAATAAAAACAGTTTACAGAAAGAAAAACTTAAGAGATATGTACAACAAGGTAAGAGACGCAGTAAGGCTAAGGAGAAATTTAATTAAAGAACTGTGAGCTATTATGGAGTTTTAACTGATATGTCAGATGCGTAATCCATAGGTTGGAATATTCTTTCGATTACGAAAGAATATTCCAACCTATAGATTCTGTCGTCTGTAGTCTGTAGAATTTTTTTTCAGACTTTTTTATAGAAGGAGATATAATAAATACCACTTTTATTGTATGGAAATTCATAGCCTTGATAATGACAAAAACAAAAACATTTTTTTGTGTAAGATTTAGTAAATTACTATTAGAGTAGTATTGGCATAAACAATTACTAATAAATTGCTTAGTAAATGCGAGTACTATAATTTTGTAGCTTTATTTAGTAGCTTTTTGTATTTTGTAGCTTAATTAATCGATCAATAATGATATCTAACGTTTTTATTAGAATAATTATTTATTTTTTAAGTTTTTGTATTAACATTTACGTAGATATATTTTATTTAATAGTCGT